GTACATGTGTGTGTGCACACGTGTGTGCATGTTGGAGTGTGTACACATATGTGTGTGTGCATGTTTGAGTGTGTAAATACAGACGGGAGTGTGTGCGCGTGTGTTCATGTTGGAGTGTGTACACATGTGTGTGTGAGTACAAGCCCGCATCTCGCTGCACATCTCAGTGGAGAAATGGAGGTAGTTTCCTCACGCGCAGGCCTCCCTCACTGAGGACCTGCCCCCCTAACACGACCCTGTCCGTGTCCTCAGGCGCCTCCCCCACCCCTGCACGGCGTCCTCCAGCGCCAGGGAACTGTGACCTCCCTCCCCAGGGCAGGCCCTCCTTCCTAGGTCCTCCAAGCAGGCCCTTCATGCACCTGCATCATCTCTCTGCTGACGAAGGTCTCTTGAAATTGCAAGTCAGGTGGCATTTCCCCGAGGTCTCCCTGGAGGGGCCCCGCCCGAGTCCACAGCACGTGGGTCTGTGCTTGTCAACACAGAGGGGCAGGCTTGGCCACCGTCATCCTCCCCGTCTTAATTAGGCTGTAAGTCTGGTGGTGACAGGGGCCTGTCTCTTGATCCTCAGAGTCCCCAGCCCCGCCCCATCCATGGAAAAGGCTCTCCAGAGACAAGGAACGGTCAGCTCGGCTGAAGAACCAGAGCCGGAGGCACATCCTCTCTCCCTTGCTTCGCCGTATTTCTATTCCACGCAGCCCCCCCCCCCCCAATTGCAGCAGGGTTGTCTGTGCAGGCCCCTGGGGAGCAGCGGCACCGGGTGCGTGGAGACTCATCAGCTCCATGGCTGGTCTTTCCAGAACACACGGCCCTCTCAGCAGACAGGACCCTGAGCGGGGCCAGTCCACTAGGAAGACACTGAGGGCTACAGAGCAGGAGCCTTGAATGATCCGCACCTTCCTATCAGTCTTCCCTACCTCACGCGGCAGACCTGGGCCTGCACGGAGCCCCAGCCCAGCCCCAGCCGTCACCTGGTGAGTTTGCAAATGGCGGCCGGTCCCCATGTGCTCTGACCAATTGGGTTATCTTTGGGGAAAACCTGAGCTCTGCTCCGGCTCAAGAAGCCACTCCGTGCCCAGGTTTCCTCAGTGTCTTCAAGATGCCGACTATGTGAGGCTGCTCCTGGCCCCTGAACGTGGGCATGGGCCCCCTGCCCTCCGGACTTGGTCTCACTTGCTGGCGTCCAGTGTAAAGGACCCCCAGCTCCTTCCACAAGCAGATGCGCACCTCACGCAGCCACCTACTGCTCACACTCAGTTTGGGAACTGACGTTTGCATTCAGCGTCAGGTGAAGAGCACTTTTGTGTTATTACACAGAACTTTTCACGGCGATTTTAAACGCTGAATGATGGCCCATCAAGTGGATCTTCCATAGTTTACTTACTTGCTGCTCTCGCCGCTGCCCCCACAAAAACACCATTGATGTGCTCTTGCCTGTTGGCTCATGTTCTGCAAAGAACCTCGTGGACCCTCCACTGGACAGGACGGTTCGGGAGGGCCCAACTGAAGTCAGGGAGGCCAGTGGGAGGCTGGTGCAATGCCCATGGTCTTGGGCAGAGCAGCCTACGTGCCTTTGTTGTACGTTACGTTGAAGATCTTTTTCCCCCTGCTGAGAATCCGAACACCTCAAAATCTAGTTCTTGGTCTCACTCAGCTTCGTACAGTGAACACTTCACACAGAGTCTTGTCCCAGGAAGTATCCAGTGAACTTGGACTGAACGCTGAGTGAGTGGTGAGCCGTCAGGAGAAGCAGAGGCCGTGAACCTCATGCAGGTCAGAGAAGGCTCATCGAGGACCTGATCGGACTCCGGGATACCTGGCACGGGGGAGAGGAGCATCTCGGAGAGCAAAGGTAGCACCAAGGGGCAAAAGCTAGAGGATGTCGATTGAGGTTCCAATAAGGAAGACTTTCAGTGAAGAGGGGTTTCCATTGGGAATGGCTGATCAAAAGGGGGAGTTACCTCATCACTTTCTGGTTCCTACCAGTGCTTAGTTTTCTTCACAGTCTGGATCCCTTTAACATATTACACAAGCGCTTGTTTATTTTTACCTGTCTTTCCTCGTAGAGGGAAAGAATTTTTTTTCACTACTAGAGCCCCAATTACTCTAACTGTGTAGCATACATTGTAGACCCTCAAATAGCATGTTCTGAATGAACAGAGGATAAGTGGGTAGATGGATGCACGTATGGGTGGACCGCTGTATGGGTGGATGGGTGGATGGATGGATGGATAAGTAAGTGGGTGGATGGATGGAGGGATGGATGGAGGGATGGATGGAGGGATGGATGGATGGACAGATGATAGATGGATGGATGATAAATGGATGGATGGATGGATGGATGGACGGATGGAGAGATGATAGATGGATGGATGATAAATGGATGGATGGACAGACAGATGGAAGAATAAGTGGATGGATGGATGAACGAGTGGGGGGTGGGTGGATGGATGAGTGGATGGATATGGTTGGACTAGACAATCTCCAAAGTGCTATCCAATTATGGAATTTACCTGCTAAGATCTGCCTCCCTTACTGCATTATCTCCCCAGCTTTTTGACCTTGAATAACTTGAAGTGGCTCCCTGGGTGTGCTTTGTCTGCATCTTCTCCACATCCACCTCCGGTTGAATGCCTGCTCCTTTCTACTTGTTGTCACCTTGGACTGGAAGTCTCTCCTCTCCTACCACAGTGCAGTTGAGCAAAAGAGGTAACTGAGCCCAGTGTTTGCCAAGTTCCTATCACGTGGTAACAGGTGGCCCGAAAAACAACATTACTTTTATGAATGCGTTTGGGAAAACAGTGCCTTAGGTCCTTCCCTTGGAGATTCAAAATGCTCAGTCCCATTTCTAAGGCTCTAAAATGCCCTGTCCGCCAGGTTAACCTGTGTAATGAAAGGTTCTCCAAATTAGTTCACCGCGAAGCCCTTCCATTGTCAGGAATGAACGACATCACTGAGTGAGTAGCACTGTGGACCTGGGCTTGCGCAGAACTAGGCTAGAATCTGGGGTCCGTGTTCCACCAGCGACAGCGTCACCTCCTCGTGTCTTTCCTTATGAAACAGGATCTCAGCAGGGGACATAAAAAGTAAGAGAAAACATGAGATCATTTTGCTCGGCACCTGGTGTGTATAAACTCAAAAGTGCCATATGTTTATTAGTTATCATTCTTATTATTTATTTTTATCGAGGTGTAATTCACATTGAACGTTATATTAGTTTCAGGTGCACGATGTGATGATTCCATATTTGCACACACCACGAAGTGAGCACCACAATAAATGTGACGAACACCTGTGATCATACGTACTTCCAAGTTTTATCACGTGCTGAGAACTCTTAAGGTCTGTCCTCTTAGCACCTTTCAAATACGCAACCCAGTGTTGTTGATGATCGCCCCCCCCCCCCCCCGCCGCACATCACGTCTCTGTGAGTTTGTTATTTTATAGCTGGAAGTTGGTCCCTTGGCAACCCCTCACACATTTTACCCACCCCCGTCCCAGCTCCAGTAACGCCAGTCTGCTCTGTGTGTGCAAGCTGGGGTCATACAGGGTCATCCTTCCCTGTGTGACTTACTTCACGTAGCACGATGACCTCAAGGTCCATCCGTGTTGTAAGTGGTAAGATCTCATTCTGTTTCACGCTGACCAACATCCCACTGTATATATACACCACCTCTTTATCCATCCATCCATCCATGGACACGGAGGCAGAGTTATCATTTTCGTTGTGCTAAAACACACACCACTGGACACGTACAAGCAGTGACACGAAAGACATTCGCAGTGTGACACAGCCGTCACCATCATCTGCTTCCACACTTCATCACCCCAGATGGACACCCATACGAACGTGTTAGCAATCAGTCTCTGCTCCTCCAGCCTCTGGTGGACATGAGCCCACTTTCTGTGTCCGTGGGTTTGCCCACCGTGAACACCGCGCGTCCGTGGAATCATATGATACGTGGTCTTTGGTGACTGGTCCTTTCGCCGAGCGCCACGTTTTCAAGGTTAAGCCGTGGTGGCAGCCCGTGTGGGTGCTGTGGCGTTCGGCGCCCAAGGAACACACAGGCTGCTTTCCCATTTGTCATCTGATGGCCTTCTGGGTGGATGTTGAGAAGAGGGCGCCAGGAACACGCACGTGCGTGTTCCTGTTTGGTTATCACTGTAACAAGGATCAGGAGAGTTCACGGGCCTAGGGAAGAGTGCTTGGGCTCTCACGGGCCCCTCGCTCTGTCCTCTGCAGCTGGAGATCTGCGAAATCCGGCACTGTGTCCACGACTTCCCACACACACTGTGGACGAGGACCCCGACCCCAGAGCTGCAGCCCGGGGTTGCTGCTGGGATGGACCCCCCCGGCACCGCCTGTCCCCCGCGCTGTCACTTCTGTTCGTATTTGTTTTTGCCTCGCGCTGTGACAGACTGGGGTTCAAAGCCGCCCGATGGGGGACTTCCCAGAGACTGGGAGAGGCTCTCCGTCATCAGCCCGTGGCAGGTGGGACCAGCTCATCTCCTGCCCGGTTCTGATACCGTTGCCCGGCTCACGGCGTCTCCTGCTCGTCAGAGGGGAACAATGAGGCTGAGGGTCACCCCCTTCCCTCGGGGTCCGGTCCACGTCGTCAGAGTCCGTGAGGCCTCGTTTTCGCCACCCCCACACACGTCCCGGTAGAATGCCCATGCGGCACGACCGCCCCGGCTGGTGTGGAGCACAGAGGGGCACTGCCAGATGCACGCCCGCCCGCGGTTTCGGCGTAAACAGGGAACCACCGAGACGCAGAAAAGCAAGACCCGGGTTTGTCCTTCACTCTGCCGGAAGGCACAAGCCTCCAACCCATCTCAGAAAAGGCTACGCACCAGCTGTCTCAGCGAGCAAGGCGGACGGCCGGTGCTCTGGGGAGCCGGGAGGAGAGCCACGCTGACGCGCGGCCTCAGGCACACGGGGCTGATTCCTCCCGGACAGAGGTCCCGAGGGGTAATGAGGCCGTTGGCTTGGGGATCTGGAGGGCCCCCCAAATGTCCCTTCCTTCCTGGTTCCACCGCCCCGGAGGGGCTCTGGGGCCAGCCTCCATCCGGTTGGAGCCTTGTCACTCTGTCTGTTCTTCTGTCCTCTGTCCGTGGCGGGCCTCACTAATTGGTCTCTGCACTCAGTGCCTCTGAGCCCAGACTCTTCTCCGCCATGCTTTGCGAGGTGGTGCGCCAAGCAGGCCCCTTCACTGAACAGGTGGTGCGCGGTCGTGCGTGTCTCCTTGGCTTGGAGTGTATTCTCTGCAGAGGTGTTTGTGAGATCAGAGGACCACACGTTCTTTCACAAGAGCACCTGGGCCCCTGCCATGGGGAAGGCACTGGGCTTGGCACCCTGGGAACCTGACCACAACCAGACATCGTCCTGATGGTGGAGGAGCGAGTGGTCGGGAGGGAGGGCGTCCGCTGTGCTCGGCATATAATGGGGGATGTGAGAACAGGAAGGCAAGACTCATAAGCTCTGCCGAGAGGAAAAAGGATGCCTCTGCAACGAGGCCGTGTCAACTGGGTTTTGAGGGATGAATAGGAGTTCATCAGGTAGAGGCTGTAACATCTTCAGAGGCTCTGGCCCAGAGCGGGATAGGGAGTTTGGGGTTCCACAGGTGCTGCAGGGTGGCTGGAGGGCAGGTGTGTCTAAGGGAGTGAGTAAGAGAGAGGAGATGTGAGAGGCAGGCAGAGTGCTGAAAACCAAGGTTTTGTGGGTGATGGCAAATCACTTTAAGTTTCTAAACAGGAAGTGACACAGTCCTATGTATGTGTAGAAGTGTTAAATTCAGTAGAGGCCTTGGGGCTCTTCCAGGGCCATGCGTTCATATGGAATCTCAGAGACCGCAGAGAGAGGGTGTGACGCAGAATCAGACTCCTCCCCTCCAGCCTCAGGGACGTCCCGGCAGAATCAGACTCCTCCCGGGCCTCCAAGGCCAGGCTCAGGGCCTCGGCTGTGCTCAGATCCCACACCTGGTCACAGGCCCGCCCTGCAGACGCTTCGGCCTCCAGAGACGGTCGGGAAGGTGCCACCCGCAGGGGACTCTCCGCCAGTGCATTTGGTGGGTGGCCCGCTGAGGCCCCTCTGTCCCCACACGTGGTCCCTTATAGTTCTGGTGCCTCTACGTGTCAGCGTTCCTTCAGGGGCAGAGAAAACAACAGGAGCCCTACAGGCAGACAAGTGGACGTACAGCCTCACAACTCTCCCTTCCCTCTGCCGCCCTCCCTCCCCACCCCTGCTCCCAGGGAGGCGGGCCTTCTCCGGGCTGGAGACTGAGGCAGGGAGCAGGTGTGAGCTCTCACTTCACAGCTTTGCGACCAGAGACAGAAGTCCCCAGGGATCTCCGGCAGGCCGGTCATCGGGGCCCCAGAGGCCGGGAAGTGGGTGCTAAACGGACCTGAGGGGACAATTGTCAGAGGGCGGGCGGAGTGCGGGAGTCTCTTGTCGTGTGTGCTAAAGGTGAGCACCTCGAGGGGATGTGAGGGAACCACAGGGCTCTGGGCTTTTACAGCGAGTTCACAGGCTTCCCCAACACGGCCTCCTTACGCTTGCCTTCCCCTAGTGTGGGGGTGGGGGAGGGAGACAACAGAGAGACTTTTCCTTTATTTTATTTTATTTTACTTTTTCTCCAATTTGTAAAATCACGCCCTCTGAGAGCACAGTGCCTCCGGGCTCGAGTACAAAATTTGAAAACATTCAATTAAAAACCTGGGAGCAGCCTTCGGGGGGCTGGGGTTAGCACGGCCCAGCAGAGGCCGTCCGGGGCGTGCAGAGACCAGAGCAGGAGGAGCCGGGGGGCCTGCCTGGCCGGGTTCCAGGCCCTGGGCCCCATCTGCAGGTGCGGCGGGCAGGGCCGCGAGGCTCAGGCTGGCGAGACGGCCACGCTGGGTCGGCGTTAATTGGAGGCTGGGGACGGCCGGGCCTGCACAGTCACGTCTCACTAGCAGACAGGCAGGTTTGCCGTGAGTGGGGGTGATGGTTCCAGGCGTGTCCCCCGTCCAGCGGGGCCTCCGTGCAGCCTCCTGGCTTGGGTGTCTCAGTTCCTTACCAGAGACGTCTCTCCCAAAACTGAGGGTCCCCCTTCATTCTGGGCCGGTCCTTGTCATGGGTCCCCTGTGTCCCCCCAGGTTCATGTTGAGTTCTTATCTTTAACCTGACCTTATTTGGAAATGGGATTCGTTAAGAGGAGGTCACTGGGAGGGCCCAAATCCCCTACCACTGGGATCCTCATAAAAAGTGGAAATTTGGGCACGAAGACACATACAGGGAGAAGTTTTTAGGTGAGCAGCGCCCCTCCCCCCCACCTCGCCCCACAGAATTCAGGGAGCGCCATGAGGGTCACCAGCCTCTGTGGCAGCTTTTCCAAGCACATCGCGAGCCCTGGAACTCAGTACTTGAGGGCCGTGTGGTGGGTCACCGTTCGTGAGAGCAGGTGCTTAGCTGGGGACACGGGGGAGAGAAACGTGTCCTGTCAGCCTCGGCAGGTACACGTCGGTGGGTCCAGGTGTGCAGTCTGAGCCGCTAGAATAAATCTTCCTGCAGGAAGGTGGCTGTGACATCACAGTTGTCACTGTCTGGGGGCGGGGGGGAGAGTGCATTTGGGTAAGAATCCGCAACATGACCCCTTCTCGGTCGCCCACGGAATTACAACCTACAGCTGCTGTTTCTCTGTCCTGCCCAGCCTGCAAATCAAGCCTGCTTGTCCCCGCTCGCTGGGCTGCAGGGCCCGGAGGACAGCAGAGGTTCAGACCCCGATTCAGACCAACAGTCACCCCGCCCGACCTGGAGCTGGTGGTGGATGGCAGGGCTCCCCTCTGATGGGCTCCTCCCCGCTCCCCGTCCCCCTGCCCCCCGTGCGTGAGCATCCTGATGAGTCCCCGCCCACCCCCCCCACCCCCCGTGCATGTGGGTCGAGCAGGTGCAGAGAACAGCCGTCACCACAAGCCCCTTCCACCGTCGGGGGCCCTCACGCCATCGTCTCGATTGTCCCGGCGTCTGAAGGTGGCTCTCCTGAGCCCCTGCTTGGGGACCGTCTATCTCCTGGGCGCCGTTCTCATTAAGGTTCTGCTCCCTTTCTCCATTTCTTGCAACAGAGGAAGGGTGTTTCAGTCCTACCTGCGACGAGAGTACGGTCCCTTTCCCGCCCCAGCTTTAAGAGGAGGTGAGCGGGTGTTGGTTCCGGGAACTTTCCCGTAGGATCACAAGCGCAGAGCCTCCCCGGGTGGGGTTGGGGCAGCCGAGCTGTGCCCCTCCCCGCTGGCCTTCAAGGTCTAGGGCTGTTCTCCCAACACAGG